AGTGATTTAATAGTAACAAGAAATTGGTATAATGGTTTACCAATATGACATGTTGAATATTATTTTCTTTTTTGTGTGTATTCTTTGCAAAAGTGTTAATTGATTTTCTCATTTTAAAAACGTGGAGTAAAACGTAAAAAAATAGATTTTAGATTTGTTTGAAGCTTAAATTAGGATTATTTGTGACTCCAGTGTTTTGCTCTTCAGTGAGTCAAAAACAGATTTGTTGAAGCTGAAGAAAACAGTTTGGTTGAACAATTCAAAAGAAGAAAGTAGAAAAAAATCATGGTCAAACCTGATGATCAGATCACTTTTTATTTGTCTACAATGTTTTATGTTGGAGATATGACACAGTAAAACGAGGGTTAGAGGCTTTTTGTGACCTGGACTATTGAGCATGCATCAGGATTCTTTGATCCACTTTGGCGAGGATTGCCTAAAACTAGTTCAAGTTTGAGCAGGCGGCGGGGGAGACAGGACCCTTCTGAGCACCAGCAAACGAGTTGAACCACTATGTAAGGTGCTATCGGGGTGGAAGTAACAAATTACAAATACATTACTGTAATTAAGTAAATTTTGGGGGGTATTTGAACTTTTATGAGTATTTCTTTCAAGTGTGTAATTTTACTCATACTTAAGTACAATTTAGAACATGTAATCTACTTCTCTACTTTTAAAATTAGAAGCTGCTACTGAGTACGGCTGCAGTTTGAATTTATAGTCAAACGTTCATCTGCATCTTTGTAGCCAATAAGGCTCTCAGATCGCGACTACGCCAATTACCTATGACGTAAGCAAAGGACAACTCTGACATTTATGGACCGAAGATATGGAGAAAAAGCCAAAATGGAGACAGAGGACAACAGTGTCAGAGAAAATGATGAGGTAAAGGCTGAGGACAAGTGCCCGTGGTCGTACCTGGAGGAATGTTTCATGTACAGGGGGAGAAATGGAGACAGCATCCAGATGCAAACTGTTTGATCTCTACGGTGACAGCAGCTTACAAGACTTCAGCATCTAAACTCAAAACACATACTGCAGTATATGAGGTTTTACAGCTACCTGCATGATGTTGCTTTTTTATTGTTTGTATGTGTGGGTTATTAGTTTGGCTAAGTATGCAAAGATCTTAGATATTGTCAATCTTAGATATTGTCATTGCCATAAGTTTGCCTGGTACTAAAATAAGACGGAGCTTCTGAGCGTCTGAGAAATGTAAATCAAACTGAATGACTTCTATTGACAACACAATGAAACATCAAAAGGTTAAAAAGTAATTAATACTCCGAGTAGTTTTTGAGAAGAGTACTTTGTACTTCTACTTAAGTATTTTTTATAACACCAGTACATTTACTTGTAATTGAGTACAATTTAAGCTGTGTAACAGTACTTAAAAACAAAAAAAGTCCGTGCTCAATAATTCCAACAAATTTCTGTCAGGTCATCTGGACAGTTTCTTTTTTTTTTTCTGAAACATTTCACCTTCCATCCAGAAGGCTTCATCAGTCAAAGAAACACAGAACACAAAACTGATTCTTCCCCCAAGCAGCTTACTCCAAAGTGGAACAAACCAGTTCTCTTGGTGCTAAGATGGTGTCTTTGTTACGTCCCCTCCTCCAATGCCGGCCCTCTTCCTCGTTGACAGTCATGTCAAACTGGTTCAAAACCAAAAACAGTACTTGTACTTGAGTACAAATTTTCAGTACTCGTTCCACCTCTGGGTGCTATTTATAAGACTGAGTTTGTTGCAGCTCCTCAGACTGAAGAAGTCTTTTTGATAAAAGATGAAACATTTCAACAAGAAGAATCCATCCAGAGGACCTGACTTAACTTTGTTGGATTTTTCTACCTGGATTATTAAGCATTAGTCAGAATATCCTCAGGTCATGTTCTGATCATATTTCATTGTCCGAGGAAAATGGATTAATTGTTCTTAGTCCTGTAAAATAAAATTAACGACATTATGGGACTGTCCCATCTCATTTAAAGTTTTAATGTTTAAACTACAAACTAAACAGGACTCCAGCAGCATCTCTATAGTGTTATTAAGATTAATCATATTAGCAGTAACATGTATTCAAACAGGGCAGCACGGTGGCGCAACTGGTAGAGCTGCTGCCTCTCAGCGAGAAGGTCCCTGGTTCAAACCCCGGTCCAGGGCCCTTTCTGGGTGGAGTTTGCATGTTCTCTCCGTGCATGCGTGGGTTTTCTCCGGGTGCTCCGGTTTCCTCCCACAGACCAAAAACATGCATGTTAGGCTGATTGGTAACTCTAAATTGTCCCTAGGTGTGAGTGAGAGAGTGAATGGTTGTTTGTCTCGTTTGTCTCTATGTGGCCCTGTGATGGACTTGCGACCCGTCCAGGGTGTACCCCGCCCCTCGCAAAGTGATTGCTGGACATGGGCACCAGCGACCCCCGTGACCCAAAATGGAATAAACGAGTAAAGATAATGGATGGATGGATGGATGTATTCAAACAGGCTGCACTGAAACCAGTTTGAGCACATTTTAAAGCAGCTACCAGCCCGTTTTATATTCTTTTGATCAGAACACTTAATACAAAATAAAAATGCTTTTACCGTGTGACTGCACATACTCAGCCCACGGCCCCTCACTTCATCTGCTGAGAGCAAATGGGTATGACGTTAGTAAAAGTTAAATGTCCTCTCACAGACGAGCACTCTCTGAATTCAGCCAACACACACGATGCAAGGATGCATTAGAGGAGGTTGTGGGAGTCGTGAAAATAAAATGCTTGATCTTTCAGTGCAGCTGCTGCAGCTGTTGTTTTCTGTTTTCCTTTTAATCCCAGAGACAGGTATCATGTTTCTAATTAAGAACACGCTGTGTGCATTCGATCTGTAATGTCAACAAAATGCAGGTGGTCGCAGGGCTTTTTACACAGATCAAAAAAGCCTGCTGATACCAGGCTTTTAGGTTCGACAGGAAAGTGTTTAATCAGCATCCAGTCCTGGGCCAAATGACTGCTGTTGTTCAGGGTGCTCAGGGTTAAAAGTTAGAACAGCTCCCCTTTTCTTTAACAGAACACACACTGGCTTACATGTAGGCTCTAAAATTGACAACAAGTTTTAACACAGCTCTTAAGTTTCACCATGTGAGACTGACTTTCACCATTCAGTCAAAAATAACAGTAAAATTTGCCCAATCGTCTTTAAAAAATGTTTTTATCACAAATTGTGGTCCAACACAGTTTGAAGAATGTAATACGTTGAAGTGGAAGGGAGTGGCAATTTCTGCATATAAGCCTAGATCTATGGCTTTATTGTACTCCTTAGAGCATTTTCAATTTAATTCAGTTTATTTATGTAGCTGCAATTTACAACAAAAGTCTCTCAGAGCATTGTACAAAAACATTTATGCTTTGAACAATGTACAGCCAAACATTCAACATTCACACAGACAATGAAACAGAAAGAATCATCCCTGACCCGGACAAGGCATTGCACTTGTGTCTGATTGAGAACTTTGGCCTCTTAGAGGAGCTGACTATCATACCAGCCGCTTCAAACTTGGCTGAGAACCATCCCATTGCCTCTTGCAGATTGGGACATGAAGACACTAATGACGCTAACAGAACCACATCATCTACAAAAAGCAGGGACAAGATTCTGAGGTTCCCAAACTAGACACCCTCCTCTCCACGGCTGCACTTTGAGATTTTGTCACACAACAGACATGACTGGTGGTGACAAGGGACAGCCCTGACAGAGTCCAACTTGCACTGACAGCAAGCTTGACTTTGTGCCGAGGACATGGATATCTCTGGCTTTCGTTATAAAAGGACCAGATAGATCTTAAAGGCAACCCTAGCACCCCAGAATCCCACACACCCCTCCTCACAGAATGCCTCAGATAACACAGTCAGATTCTTCTTCTTCTTCTGGATTCCTGATATGCAAAACAAATGTACATCTGCCTGGTCAAAGGTGGACATGGTGAACATATTAGGGAAATTCTTAAAGTGTTTCATCCACTGCTTTACAATTCCCCAGTCCAGGTCAGCAGTTCCCCACCCAAGCCAAGCATGGCCTGGGACGAGGCCCAGTTTCTCTTTTAACTCTATAATGACATTTTTGCTTTGTAGGGCCAGTAAGGCATGGCCTGTCTGCAGTCATTCTGCCCACGTTCTACCCTAGCTATGGTTGTGTTTGCTTTGAGCAGAGTGCCACCTCGATGTTGACAAGGATCATCGTATCAAAAACTTATGATCTCAGATTATTTGTGACAAAACAATGGATGGCATCGAGCTTGTGCCACTTCTCTTTTTTCTCTATACACTACACTCACCTCATTGTTTGTCAAGTGTACTGGAATCCATACTTAAAGCAAGTGGTCAATGGAGCATGACTCATCAGTGACACCCCCCCACCCCTGAGCCAGTGAACCAATCAATGGCCAATAGTATGCTGACATCAAATTGGCTCGAACAACCCAGCCCAAATGGAACCCCAGGTCTCTGGGTTCCAGGAATGGGGCTGGAAATGGGCCATAATGCCAAATACAAATATGAAGAACTAGTCTGAACCCAGGTCGGGGCGGGCCACACCTTACAATGCAAAAATGTTTCAAATCCAGCCCCTCTCCAAGACTTCAGTTCAAATGTCCAAGCTGTTCGTAGAGGTGAGCCCAACTATTTGGTATTGCGCCATCTAACACTCAAGCTCCAGCTTCTTACCTGCCAGTAAGGGTACATTCCATGTTCCTGGAGCTGGTTTATTCTGCCAGGAATCAGCAAGCTCAGGAACACTCCTTGCGTGCCACCCGGATATTGTGAATATTTATATAATATAGTTATAATAAAATTATTGTTATATATGTGTTTGAGATTATTTAAGCAGCAGTTTTGGTGTTAGTTGTGTTTCTGTTTTTAAACAGGAATTTACATAATGTGATACATATTGAAATCTTTGTTTTAAAATTAAAATCTGCTTGAAGTTATAGAAACTATCTGCATACCTGTATATAATTGCTTTACTGCAGTGTGACAGTGGCAATGAAGAGCCAGGCCCGGTGGTTGGTGATGGAGCGGATGGAGGTTTTCTACATTGGTGTAGCTCTTATGGTGCTAGGAACTGTACTGGTGGTCAGCAGCTTCATCGCTCTGGGATTCACAGGGACATTTTTAGGTGAGTACCAAACACAAAGAAGCACTAAATCAGATACAGTTTGGTACTGATGATGAATCAACACACTGGTGATGGCACATACTGGAACGTATTTGTCAATAGGAAAAAGAAAGAGTGATTTTTGGAAAAAGGTGGGTATTTGTTGGTCTGGAAAGTTTTAATCAGAAAGATTTAATCCCTTAAAAGCAGGATGGGTTTCATCTACACATACTCATTAAATATAAATGAACATGTGAAAGTTTATTTTAAAACCAAATACTGACATAGCATAATAATAATAAGAAGAAGAATGTGTTATGTGTTGTCATCTTTGTATGTTCCCATACAATGGTGAAATTGGCTCTCTGCATTTAACCCATCTACCACCAGGTGGTGCAGTGTGCAGCTATTGAAAGTGCCCGTGGAGCACTTTGGGGATAAGGTGTCCTACTCAGAGACACCACGAGATGTGCAATGACTGGGGATCGAACCTGGGACTTTCGGGTCCCGAGTCGGCTGCCCTGCCTCTACCCCATCTCAGGCCTCATAAGGAGCAAGCAATGAAATATAGACTTTTAATATTAACTTTAGCGTTATGACAGAAATCTGCTAACCGTACAGAACTGCTATTACAATAAATAAACAAATAAAGTAAAACAAAAATGAGAAAATGGAAAGAAAAACAAAAGTTGACAGAAAACAATACAAAAACCAGGGTGTATTGATAAATATGGAAATTGTCAATTGACACCATGCAGGTAAAGTCAGTGACCAAACTAGCATTAGCCATGTATGAAAAGCAGAATAAGGGAAACATTTGAGGGGAAAATGGGAAACAAGGATCAGGAAAATGGAACAAATCCATTTAGTAACCATCCATCCGTCCATTATCTTTACCTGTTTATTCCATTTTGGGTCACGGGGGTCGCCGGTGCCCATGTCCAGCAATCACTGTGCAAGGGGCGGGGTACACCCTGGACGGGTCGCAAGTCCATCACAGGGACACATAGAGACAAACGAGACAAACAACCATTCACTCTCTCACTCACACCTAGGGACAATTTAGAGTTACCAATCAGCCTAACATGCATGTTTTTGGTCTGTGGGAGGAAACCGGAGTACCCGGAGAAAACCCACGCATGCACGGAGAGAACATGCAAACTCCACCCAGAAAGGCCCCTGGACCGGGGTTTGAACCAAGGACCTGCTCGCTGAGAGGCAGCAGCTCTACCAGTTGTGCCACCGTGCTGCCCCCATTTTGTAGCCAAAAATACAAAATCATGGAAATTAAAAAATATATATACAAAGTAGTCAAACACATATAAATACAAAAACCTCTAGAACCTTGAATTTCATTGGTACTTGTTCAGTGTGTTTCCCAAACGTAATTATAGTCATTTTAAGATTCTTCTAAAAAATTATGATTTTATTTTTATTTAAATTAGATTAGTTTCAATAATGTTAAAATTGAGCTAAATTTTCATGTGTTAGTAGCTGAAATTCTTTATCAACATATACTTTTAAGTGCAGAGATCACAAAAAAACTGTTGCAATACTGTTTGAGATAACATATTAAGATATTTTCAAGATTTTATCACAACATTAATATTCCTTAACATTAATTGATTTTAGTATAAAAGTGGCATGAAAGGGAGCGGGCAATAAGGAAAATAAAACTTTAATTTAAATTGAATTGTACCGTCTACATCTAGTACTGCATTAATTTCACACACCACATGAATAATTACAGTATATGATTTTGGATTAAATGTAGCTTTAAATGGCAAACATTAGGTAAAGACAGATGAATAAATGTTAGTTTTATCTGAGTGTAGACAAATGAAAAGATTTTACGGGTTTAAACATTTCTTCTCGTTGTTGTAACTTCAAAACAATGTTTTCATGTTCTTGCTTCTCTTTTGTTTCAAAGACAAAAAGTGCACTTTTCTTTTTGTGTCACTTGAATACACTTTTGTCATCATTTCAAATGAACACGATAACATCATCGTCGTAATGATCAATACATTGGTTTCTAATTTCTGGGTCGTTCGATGAGTGACTCATAATCATAATCCAGACTGATTGTTTCACGTTCTGCTCCGTCACTGGACTGAACTGCTCTCAACACGTTATAAACATTTACAGGAGAAATGCACTGTGTATTTTATCTATCAGTTAGAATAAAATGTTGATGGCAGGTGGGACGGCCATGAACAAGAATGTAGGCGTCAAAAAAACAAAACCTTGTATTATATTAATACAATTAATGAATTAATTAGTTAAATATACCTGTATTCTTGTAAAATGGACAGACATGCTACCCACCATGCTCAGTGTTATCTAAAGTGAGCTGAGCTGTAAACGAGCGGTTTGATTGGCTAAGGCAATGCCGTCATTTACTTTTCTAACTGTGCTACATCTGACTCCTGAAGGGATTTGTTTAGTCTTCTAAAGATGCTTCTCAGGCTGTCTGGGACATGGTGTTCTTGACAAGGCCACCAGTTGATGGTCACTGATATTAAAGATAAACCAAGGGCTCACTGCTCCTGCACAACGAGCCAGCAACAAAAACAAACAGTTGTAGCAAAGTGCATGAGCCCATGCCCTGAATCCAACTACTTTAGAAGATTTTGTGTCTAAAGATACATTTTCTACAACTCCCAGACACCATGGCCTATTCCTCCTAGTCACATAATTGTGAGCAGCCTGCAGATTTAAGATGTCTCACTGGCTCTATATTAACTCTGGAGTCGTTGTGACCTGATAATTCAGACTGATAGCATGAGGCAGAGAGTCTGAATGAAATTAGACATAATGTTGTTCATGTTGACCACCTACCCTGGGACCCAAACACTGATTCTTAGAACCACTTCTCTAACATCTAGACTACAGCAGTGCAGCCCCTACCCTACAGGTAGTCAACAATTTTCATAATCATGAACATATGAAATAAGAGTGACGCAGGAAGGTAGGAAAAGAAATTGCTTTTGAATCTGAATGGGAAACCAGTCATCCCTTTGGAGGTCAACAAAGCTTCTACTGTTAAAAAGTGGTGATATCTATTTTTGTATTTGAATAGTAAACAGATTTGTTTACATAATCTGTTTTCTGTCACAATTTACCTGTGGTGTTTAGATTAGCATTCATAATGAGAAGTGTTATATAACTTAGACGTTAGCGGCCTCTCTCTGACCAAAACGCAGGGCCAGCAGCAACAAATGCGTTATTCAACAAGTCAGCTTTATCTGGTGGCAGCTTGCATACGTTTCTGTGTTTGTTGGATATTTGTATGTGGGTACACAAACGGAAGGGAAATGTTCCTGTTAAACCAGTCGTTCTAAATGGGTCAGATAAGTTGAATGTGTCAGGACACAGAACTGGGAGATTCATTACAGATGTCCAGGTTCATCTGTCTCAAAAACCTTACAGGACCCACGCTTTACATGAAACAAGGTTTACCGCCAACATGCAGCAGTGCTTTCAGGTTTCAAAGGGCCACTGCCAATTTCTGTGTGGCACACAAAAACAGAAATCAACAGTTTTTATCATGTTTTACTGAATAAACAATAAGGGGAAGAGTACAAAGCCTTTTTATTTATCAGTTTTATGTCTCTAAAGTTCCTACATAAAAACTTAGTGCAATAAAAACACATGCCTTATTACACTGTTAGTGTATAACTACAACTAGATAAAAGAAGCAATATGTGAAAAATATATAAAAAATATATATTAAAAATATATTACATCTTGTACCCAGAATTACTGTCTTTTCTTTCTTTTGTATCTTAATTATTTTAGTTGCTTTAGTTTTTATTTTTTTATTTTAATTATGTAGGGAAGATCCCACTACATTATTTTATTTCAGTGCTGTTATTTGACATTTTGCCTACTCATAGTAAGGTCATTACAGGACACCATACAGCAGCAGTGCCCAAACCTGGTCCTTAAGGGCCGTTATCCCACAAGTTTTAATTGTTGCCCTGCTCTTCAGCATGACTTTAAGTTTTATAGAATCCTGGTCATCACTCATTTTAACCAGGTGTGTCAAAGCAGAAAAAGATCTTAAACCTGCAGAACAGAACAAGACGCCCCTCTGTGTGACCACAGCAGATGTGAGGAAGACCATCCAGGGAATCAAACCCCGTAAGGCTGCAGGCCCCGACAACATCCCAGGGCGGGCACTGAAGGACTGCACACACCAGCTGTCTGAGGTGATGGCGGACATCTTCAACACTTCACTGTCAATGGCGTTTGTCCCCACCTGCTTTAAGTCCGCCACTATTGTCCCTGTACCCAAGTGCTCCACAGTGACCGGCCTGAATGTAGTCATGAAGTGCTTAGAGAGGCTGGTTATGACCCACATCAAGGACTCCATCCACGTCACAATGGACCCACATCAGTTTGCCTACAGAAGGAACCGCTCCACTGCTGACACTGGGACCCTGTGTACATAATTTCCTTCCACCTCATGTACCACATGTGATGGTAATGACAATAAAATTAACTTGAACTTGAATTTCATGTAATCTTTTTCCTCGAGCATGCACTGGGGATGCAGGTGACAATGAAGAGGAGCAAGTTTCTTTTAACAGGAAAAAACCTGCAGCAGAACTGGACTTAGGCTGGGTGGCCATCTGCCACCACTGACTGGAGATTGAGAGGAAACACAAAGACTGTTGGCTCTACTCTCAGTGGAAAACAATGAAAAAGTGGCTTTAATGGTGGTAAGAAATTGCAAATACAAATATGAGGAGAAAAATAAAGAGAAAACATTTCTGTAGCAGATTTATTTTTTCTGTTTGGAGTCATTATGCTGTTGTATTATTTAATATGAGCCAAACTTCAGCTGTTGGACAGATGAGTTCCATTTGACAGTAAAATATTTTATTCTTCTAGCTCTGTTACTGCAGAACAAGCCAGGACAGTTGATATAGTGGTTGTTAGGTTTTGTCTTTTGATTCTCCAAAAAAGTTCAATCTGGTCCTCTGGACATTCAAAAAAACAAAAACAAAACAAAGCAAAAAAAATTCTAGAAACGTTTCGTCTCTCATCCAAGAGACTTCCTCAGTCTGAGGTGCTGTTTTCAGCTCAGTCTCTTAAATAGCACCTTCTCAGAGTGGATCAACCAGTTTTGCTGCTGACAACCAAAACCAGCTGATCACATGCTCAAGAAGGACCATCAGCCTAACAATGGGTCATTAGCACACTGATGGCTGTTTACTGTTCACAGAGGGTTGATTCTGTTTAATAAAATGGCATAAAATATTTATAAAAATAATTTTGCTAAAATTTGTTTATTTTTTTATATATTTAATGTGAAATCCTCAGATTGTTTATTTTACTTAAGAAACCATAGCTGATGGTTCTTTTTGTAACAAAAAGTGTTCTAAAAATGAAAAGATGGAGTCTGAAACAAAGATGGAGTCTGAAACAAAGAAAACACTGTTTGTGGAAGGGTTGTTAGTGTAGAAAATAAATTACAGAACTTCACAGCCGGAGGAAAGGATCGTTACAGCAGCTGATTCTTGTAAAATGGACAGACATGCTACCCACCATGCTCAGTAGACACAAATGTTGTTTGGAGCAATGATTAAGGCCAGTCTGTCCTGGTTGTATAGTCAGATCAGGGTTATTTTTTGTATGTAAGAAATATGTGGGGAGCAGTTTTACTGTGTTTTCTCAAAATGGACTGTACTTATATAGCTCCTTTCTATCTAATGAAGATACTCAAAGCTCTTTACAAAACAATATATGCCCTCATTTACCACCACACGCACAGTCATACAACACTCTACTACAAACATTCATACAGCACTCTTACTACACACACATTCATACAGCACTCTACTACACACATTCATACAGCACTCTACTACACACACATTCATACAGCACT